TAAACTTATAGGTTTTTTCTATAGATTATAAATTATTTATAGACTATTTATAATTTCTATATTTTTAATTAACTAATGAGTTTAAAATTCTGAGAGTGTTTTTTGTAAAATTTAAATTTTGAGTGTTGGTTTGTAATTTTTGAAACTTTAAGGGTCTTTTTTATATATTATAAATTATTCAGGGGATATTTATAACTCCTATATTTCTAATATATTGTTAGATTGGAAATTATCAGAATTTTTATAAATTTTACAATTTTGAGTGCTTTATCTTGCAATTTGTAACAAGTTTAGAGTTTTATTGCAAATTTTATAAATTTTTAGGGGTTATTTGTGTTATTTTTAGGTTTTTATTGTATTTATATGTTTGAAATTTTCAATGTGTTTTTTACAAAATTTAAAATTTAGGAGTGTTTTTGCATTTTTTAAAACTTACAATATACTTTCTCCAATGTCAAAAACTTTTATTTTTTAGCTAGCATATATTTTTTATATTTCTCACTGAATTGAAATAAGTAAAATTTATAATTTTCAATATGTTTTAATAAAATTTTAAATTTGTAGGGGTGTTTTTGCAATTTAAAAACTTAGAGGGTATTTTTTACAAAGTCTAGGAATTGAAATTGTATTATCCTGTAGCTAAATAAATAAATATAATTTAAAAGTAATAATTTAAATTATTAAGTGTCTAATATTCGTTCATGCGAGAAAGTAAAGTAATCTTCAGTCTGTATACTTATATAGTCAATTGATTAAACATATTAAAATTATAATGACCACCGTTAAAATTATATGGTGGGTTCACATTAAATATAATTTAAAAAAAATAGTATATTAAAGTAAAAAACCTTTTAACCAACATATTGATTGTTTTAAAGTTTTTGCATGTATAAACTATAGTGTCTAGGAATAGTGATGTGCACACTTAACTATAGCCTAATACATCTTAAGAACGATTTACTCTTCAATATCATTATTAATTGATGTATCTATGAATTACAGTAAAAACATTATAAAAATTTAGAAAACTACAAAAGAAATACCCTCAAAAGTTTTTAAAATTGTAAAAACAAACACCCTAAACTTTTATAATTAACAAATACACAAAACTATTAAAAATTATATTAAAATCCAAGAAGCTACAAAAAATCATTGAAAATTTTTAAACTTTGCAGGGGTAATTTGCAATGTACTAAACTTTAAGATTTTTTTTATAAATTTTAAATCTAATAGATTTTTAATTAGTTATGTTCTTTTTAAAAAAGTTATGGATAATATTAACCATGAAAAGTTTTTCCTAAACCTATACTTTTAAAAGGAAGTATGATATTTTTTTTGTAATTTTTTTTTATTTTCTAGGGTTGCTAGTAATTTTGTATATTCATTTTAGTGTTTATAGGTTAGAAATTCTCATGGTGTTTTTTTATAAATTATGAATATAAGGGGTTTTTTTATAACTTTTTAAACTTATAGGTCTTTTCTATATATTGTAAATTGTTTATAGACTATTTATAATTCCTATACTTTCAATTTACTAATGAGTTTGAAATTCTCAGAGTGTTTTTTTGTAAAATTTGAATTTTGAGTTTTTTTTGTAATTTTTGAAACTTTAAGGGTATTTTCTATAAATTATAAATTATACAAGGGATATTTATAATTCCTATATTTTTAATGTACTGTTAGGTTAGAAATTGTCAGAATTTTTATAAATTTTACAGTCTTGAGGGTTTTATCTTGCACTTTGTAAAAAGTTTAGAGTTTTATAAATTTTTAGACTTTTATCTTGAGGGTTTTTTTTACAAGGTCAAAAAACTTTTAGGTGTTGGCTAGCATATTTTTTTAGATTTCTCTGCAAATTGAAATAAGTAAAAGATTTGAATTATATCAAACATATCACATTTATCCAATAACATGTTAAGTCTCATTATGGATAGGATAAATCATTTTAACATGTTAAGTCTCATTATGGATAGGATAAATCATTTAATTATAAATTCAAAGAAGATAGAAAAATTAGAATAGATTAGGAATTATGGATAGGATAAATCATTTAATTATAAATTCAAAGAAGATAGAAAAATTAGAATAGATTAGGATAATAATATAATATTTAAAAAAAAATTAAGGGTAATATTGATCATGGAAAGATTTTCCTCAACTCGTACTTTTAAAGTGAGTATATGATATGATATGATATGATATATCATTTGTTATAGCAGTATGGTGCATACTCAATACACGCAATCATCAATCTTTCTTCTATTGAGTCAGTTGATAAATTATCTCGCTGCATTAAGCCTTAAATATACTTCTTGCACTAATTGCTGCTGTGACCACTGCCCAGTTTGTTCCGCTCGTCTTCCTCTGATGTGGGATTGATTTGTTGTCGCAAAATCAAGCAAACACCAATATGCCATCATAGCTCTTAAAGAAAGGATTAATATGTTTGTGAAGAGATCATTATAACCGACTCCTTAAGGTTTTCTTCTTGTGCTTTTTGGCATCATAGTAGGCTTTACCTACACGCTAATTTCAGTTGTGAAATCACATTCTCTATAATTGTATGGGGAAACATCATTTACTCAGGATTCTCATTTTTAGTCTATTGAGATGACTTGTCCAATTGGTCAGATTGGACGTATAAATCATGTAACTATCCATCTTTTAAATTTTTTAATACCTGAGTTAGACAATAGATATCCATTCAACGCATGCAGACGCATCAACGCCTACGTTCTGTTGATTGCTTATTTGTGAGCTATATTTCATTTTCGCTTTAGAAAGCATCAAGATATACATTATTAACGACACTTAAGGGTGTGTGTTTGGCAAAATGTCAAAAACTGGGTCATGATCAATCCTGGCTCAGTTTCTGAGCTAGTCCAAACTAAAATAAGTTTGAGGGACTTTTTTGGCTTATAAAAACTGGGCTAGAATAACATTGTCCTAGGATTTTGCCAATAAGAAAAGCACCTAAAACTAGGCCATATTTAGTTCTAACCCAGTTTTTAAACTTGGTTTAGTTTTAAAGTTTTGCCAAACACACCTTTAACATACTACTTATATGATAGCAAGTATATCTCAATTTCTTGGATCTTAATAGTTACTTTGTTGATAGCTTGTTGCACCTCCTTATACTCTATATCTCTATGTGGACTGTGCATCATATCACCACTCGGTCTGAGGCAGGGGGGGCAAAATTGATATTTTGCCCCCTGCTAAATGCATCCAAGACTGACCACTGCATGCGGTCATCTGAGCCTCAAACTAGGAGGTCAAAATATCAATTTTGCCCCCTACTAAATGAATATCAGACCGACCGCTCGCATGCGTCAGTTCTGATGCAAAGGGTAAGCCCCTGCGTGTAGCCCCTATGTGTAGGCTCACACGGTTGTAGGGGTGAACATAGTTCGGTTCAAACCAAACAAACCGGCCGAACCGGCCGAAATTTTACAATTCGGTTCGGTTTTTATTAGAGTTCGGTTCTTGTCGGGTTGAAGTTTTTCAACCCAAACCGACCGAATTGTATTACCCATTCCAATTCCTATTAACATCCGTTTAAACGCGACCCATTATAGTTCATATAGAGTTACTTCTCTATAGCTTGATATATTTTTCTCTCGCGCGACCTGATAGCGATAAAATATCCCAACAATAGTGTCCTCTCCAATTCTAGGGCTTTTCATTATCTCTAGTTCTCTATCACTCTCTATTACATATTCATTTCTTTTACCTTAAACCAATCCACTTTGGAGATAAGAAACTTAAACTATAATGTTGATTCTAACATTTTCCTGTTTTTTCTTCTCGATTGATACATTTTTGGATTAGGCTTCTCTTTGGATCAGAGTTATAATTTTATAGAAACTATACCCAACATCCAAGTCATTACATATTTTTTTATTTATTTTGTCTATCAGATTGAGATCACTTTAATTCTTTATGTAAGTTTTCTCTAAAAAAATTATGTAATCTTTGGTAAGAATAAGATTTTGATTTCTATATCTAATACTCATTAGCATTTAATAGTTTATGAATTTCAATAATTTGAAGGGTAAGAGACTTCTTTCTTCGTCAACAGATTAGAGGTGAAATTAAATTTGGTCATAACATTTTTACCCAAGTAAAAACCGAACAAACTGACCCGATCTGAACCGAACCGAACCGACTTGAATCGGTTCGCTTCGATTTTGAATGATAGACAGTTTGGTTCGGTTTGGTCATATTTAGTCGAAAGCCGAACCGACCGACCCATTGCATAGCCCTTGTTCTGATTTGTACTTGTCACCAATTTTTTGGCGGAAGTTTAGACCACAATCCCATTACTTAAATTAAAGAAAAGAAAAAGAAAAAGAATATCACTCGTCCTCAAAGGTTAGGCCAAACCCCACCGCATCTCAACTCCGTTGCGCCTTCAAACACACTCCGCTACGGACTCCAAAAATCTCATAACATGCTCCCCCGCCCACCACCACCACCCATCCTCTCCTCCTCCTCCTCCTCCTCCTCCTCTCTCCGCCGGCGCTCCTTGGAACATCCCCCAGATCTGCGCCGTCCTAACGCCCTCCTCCTCCTCCTCTCCCTCGCCGGTCCTCCACTCCCGCCTCTCCTCCCCTCCCTCCTCACATCCTCCAACTTACAATCCTACCCCTCCCTCTCTCCGACCCTTCGACGACGCCGACAACGACGCCTTCGACGGACTCCCGACGACGACCGCATCGACGTCCTCGACCTCGACGACCTCCACACCCAAGCCCCCCGACAACGACGACGAGCCCGAGTCCGACGACGATCCGCAGAATTCCAAGCCCGAACCCGACTCCGACGCCTCCGCCCTAGTTTGGGACCACGTGCTCGGCGTCCACCGCCGGTCCTTCGGCAAGCCTGGTGCGGAGTCGGATCCTGACCCGAATCCGGATCCTGCGAAGATCGAGATCGCGTTTTCGTCCGACGACCAGCCGCTTGGCGATCGGATACGGTCGAA